TTTGTTCTCAAAGTGAAACCTTGTTTATAGATAAATGAAATAAAATAAAATAAAATATGATAAAAAAACTAAAATATAACAAAAAAAATTAAAAAAAGGACAAATGAAACAAAATAACATAAATTCAAATAAAGAAATTAGTTAGTATTACAATTAAAAAAAAAGTTTGTAAAATATGCAAATTAAAAACAAATTTACATAATGATAAGTAAATACGTATATATGTATGCAGATAAAGAAAATTTTTAATAAATCAACACAGCTAGTTAAAATCATTTTGATTAGCATAAAACAACTGTGAAACCAACAATCCTGGCTTTATGCAATGCGCTGCAGTCAGCACCCAACTTTCGGTGATCAATGAACCACCGCAAGCAAATTTCCGGCTACCATCGCCATTCTTATACTGCAACAGCGCCATCCAAGGGAATTCAAGTATATCCNGTCCAAACCGAGTAGATGCAATTTATTTAATAATTTACTGGGATCCTCTGTTGTTGGAAAAGTCTCCGTTAGCGCTATTGTTGCTGCTTTTGATGTTGATGGATCAACTGTTGTATAACCACTTTGTTGATCGGTCGTACTCGTATTACTTGTCTGTTTATAAATACTGTATTTTTTACCAAAGGTCAATACTAAACGCCTGTAGAACTCATCAGTGAAAGTAGGTTCATCCACAATATCAAACGTAGGCAGTATTGTGGTGAGTGCTGGTGGAGGCACATGTGGCACTGTTGGCATAGTTATAGCAGGTTTGGTAGTAAGCTCTGTTAGCACTATAGGGAGGGTTATCAAATACGGCGTAGGCAGTGTTGGAACTACAGCATTGTCAGGGCAGCAAATCGTACCAGACTGAAAAACAATGTTGCGTCGTTAAAAAGTAACTAATTTCACAATTGTTTGATGTTTTAAGTGTTGTCTTTTATTTCATATGCGAAACTAGAATAAAGAAATGTATGCAAATACCTCACAAATTTCATCAGGAAAAATGATTTGACCCTTTAGCACATTGCAGTCAGCATACGGCTTGCACAGCCCAATAGCATTACGATTTAAAGGACAAGTCTTTTGTGCACCTGAAAATTTAATATTTAAGTATTTATGAGCCAACATCACGTACTAAATAAAAAATATTGTGCGCCAAG